GAGCAATGCCAAATTTGGCATTTCCTGGAGCTGCAGGTAGTTGTTGCCAACAGGGACATGATGTGGCATTGGATAATAGGTACTAGTGCTGAAAAAGTTTTCTGGAGCATTGGTACCAAACAAAAAACGTTGTTGTTGCTCTAGGAAACGTCCTACTTGGCATCAATGTTTCCAAACAAAAAAGTCAATTTTCTCAGAAAACGGTGTTGTATTTGCAGCATCAATGCCAAACATATACTAAGTCTACGTGTAATTCAGACTAGCACCCCACATGCATATCTAAGCATGCATTGTGAACATTTCTTGTATTTGTCAATGGGAGATGTTCACAATACACGGTTGGGATGTAGGGGTGCTCATAGGGTGCAGTATGTGGCACGCCCATGCGAATTCATCTAGATGGCAAAAAAAGTTAAAAAACAACAAAATAACGCTGAATCATTTCAGAATTGGGATATGCTCCTCACTGAGTGCACCTCATTTTTAATTCCATGTCATTTTCAAACAACCAATGAGATGCTCTCTTCCCCCCCYCYCCCCCCCCCCMAAAAAAAAAACCTCTCTCTCTCTCTCTCTCTCCCCCTAGAGTAGGCACATTCCCAATAACCTACATAATTTAATCTCCTAAACTACCTCCCCCATTATCCCCCACTTTTCCTAAATTATCTCTAATTTCTATTTATCCTCTCTCTCACTTTTTATCTATATATCTAAAGAAAGTTTGAATTAAAAAAATTAAAAATTATTTAAATATTCCAAAAACTTATATAATAACTATAAAACATTTATTAAAAACATAAAAAATAATTATAATCGATTTAATAATATTCATATTATTAAAATTTTATATTTTTACAAAATATATCATGAAATTATGTACTAGCAATATAAATTAGTGTTTTCGGGATTAGTCAATTTAAATACTATTAAAATAATAAAAATTTAATAGTAGAAAATAATGAAATATAACATAACTAGATTTTAAACCGTCAAAATAATGAAATTATGTAATAAATTTAAAATTTTTATTAAAACTAGAAAAAAAATTATAGCATAACATTCAAATTAATAATAATTTAATATTTTACAAAATTACGTAGTAATAGTATAAATTATAATTTTATGAATTATTCAATTCAATAAATAATTAACACTTTCAAATTTAAATAATGAGATAATTTAAATAGCTAAATAATATCATAAATAACTAATTTCACTTATATTAATTAACAATTCTAGAAAATAACTTTAAAAAATTGATATTTATTAATAATAATTTTTAAATCATAATATATATTTATTATATATTAATATATGCTAAAATTAATATTTATTGTAATTTAATTAATTATTTATTGTTTTTGTGATAAATATATTTTCAATAATTATGTATAAATCTATTTTTTGTTTCTTATTTAACAAAAAAAAATCAATAATTGTGGGAGATTAAACTACTGTTGTTTGACTTTTTAAGTTTAACTTATTGTACTTATTGTATTTATTTTATTTTTGTTATAGTTTGCTGATTAATATTTATTAGAGATTAAACTATTATTTGATATTATATTATTTATTAACTAATTTAATATGTTTTTTAGTATTTATTGTATTTCTGTAATTATTATATTTTCATTATCAATGTTTCAATAGTTGTGTATTTTTGCAAGAAAATTTCAATAATTATTGGAGATTAAAGCATTAAACTATTATTATTTATTGGAGACATCTCAAACTATTAATTTAGCTGAAATTAGGAGTGTTTTCATGGGTTTGTTCTGTTTGGCCAATCAAATCAACCTGGTTAGGTTGGGGAGTTGGTCACCCAAAATTGATTGACCAATAGTGAAAACCAAACAACTTGAGTTGTATGAGTTTGGGTCTTTTTTTTTCTGATTTGATCAATCGGTTTAAAAGATTTAAACTTAAAAATTTAAAATTAAATTTAAAAAACTACAGTGGCATTATTAAAAAAAATAAATTTATGCTATAAAATATTTGAGTAAGAAATATGAGAATTTTCCACTTTCCCATATTAAATTGGTCGATTTACAAATGACCAAAGTGAAACTGATCCAACTTGGTCATATTAGAAAATTGTTGAACCAAAGCTGGCCATAAATGTTAGGAAACGAACCAACTCGGTTCAAGTTGGTCAGGTTGGTTGATTTCATCAATTTGATGGACAACCCTAGCTGAAATTAATTATTATTATTTTGTATTGTAAAAAAATATATTACAAGTAGTATATAAAATATAAAGGAAAATCTATGATGCGGGAAAGATGTGATATCAGAAGAGTTTTGATTAATCAAAATTCACCCATGAATTTTTGATAAAAAAACACCTGATTGACTACCACATTTATGATATTAGTTGATTGCTCAAAAAATTTTCAGATATCATATCTTTCCCATATTGTAGTCAAACCCAAAATATAAATAATTATTAATTACTTAAAAATTAAAATTATAAAATAATTATATACTCTTATGTATTTCTTGTTTAGCCTCCTTCACTTAATAAATTCCGTAAATCATACGGATGCGCTAGTATGAATAATAACACATAAGTATGGGAGATATTCTCAATACATGATGGGATATGCTGTGAGGAGCGATGTGTTAGGAGCCGATCCGGTTTCATCATTTTGTGCCATGAAGGACAAATTGCTCAAAACCGTAATGACATAACGAGACATCCTAACGTTTACTATTTTCTCACTTGGGAGCTGTGCTCATTGGGACTTGGGAGGTTGCACGATAATGATTTTTTGAGTTCATTTCCACCGTCGATCTATCTGTATTTCATTGGTGGGTCACAACTCGCGGGAAGCTGAGAAGTTTTAAAATTAGGGGTTGTTTGTAGCATGGATGAGAAATTGGTGGGTGTGGACTGGTCTACACCACATCCTGTGGCAATGACCAATTCACACCACACTACAGTTCACAACTGTTCTGAACTATGGATGAACTGTGTGGACTGGTCCAATCCTACAGTGACATTTATGTAGCATAGTGTGGGTCAGTCCACACCACACTTTTTTGATTACATGTATCTCATATACATTTTATTAATGATAGACAATTAATCATAAATATCTAATTTTTACATTTTATATGATAAATATATTTAAAAAATGCATCAATGAACTAAATATTAACCAATAAATCAAGATTTTCAAAACCGGGAACCGGTCTGGTTCCGTTTTTCTCCAAAACCAAAAATTTGTAGCAGGACTAACTGAACCGAATTCACATCTGCGCCCGACAGCGTCTCACAGCATATCCCCGCCGGATATTAGAAATATGTCTCGATGATAGTATCAGAACTATGACGTCATCGTCGGAAGATGTTACCAATACACGGCGGGGATGTGATGTGGGACGTTGTGGGGCGCAGATGTGAACTCAACTGAACCAGAAGTCGGAGGGCGTGTTTACTGTGAAGATTGCAGCAGGACCGACTGCCGCATATAGACTCATCAGAGCCAGAGCCAGAGGGGAGGGGGAGCATCCGGGCATCAGGCAAGAGAGGTCGGCAGAAGAGATGGCTTGTAAGACGAAAGCATGCAGGGAATGTACTCAGAAATGCTTGTCGATTCACGGGAAGAGAGAATCGTCATCCCTTGTTGCTTCTTTCTTCAAAATCATGGTTGGCGATAAGTTCTCAGAACTCATGGTATAACCCTTTTCCCTCTCACGCATACTCAGAAACAGCCTCTAATGCTCTATCCATTTTGCCTTATATTTATTAATTTTTTGTTTTCTTGGGACTTTATGGAACTTACAGGAAAACGTTGTCGGCTATACATGTTTACACAGCTATACTATTGTTACCCAACCCTCTCCTTCTTCTCAGTTTTATTCTTTACATCTTTATGCCCGTTTCTTATGCATTGATTCTAGTTGGTTTATGTTTTCTCCTCACCCCCAAAGAGATCCGCAAAATTTTCCCCTCTGATACATATTTTCTTATCAGTAACTGAAAAATTTATTGGATTGATTGTGTGAACAATGTACTTGATGTTTACATCACAATACAAGGGATTTCTACATTTTTGTTACAAATGAGGCAGTCCATTTTATATTGTTAGCGGCATTTTCTCAAAAAGCAGTATTCTAGCAATATTCTCTTTATAATTCCCGCTGATCATATCGTATTGTATTTATACAGCTATAACTCTATGTATAAATTCAATTCAACAGAACACTGCAAGTATGCATTTTCATAATAATTCTTTATAATTTCATGGTATCAGAATTATCTCCTTCACTTACGTCTTCATTCATTATTTATCTGTGCAACTCAAGGGTTGACTTGCATAACATGTTAAATATTCAAAATAGTGCTAGTTGTGCCCTGGGATATATTAAAATGCTCTTGGAGACATGTCTAGCACTTAGTTGTAGCTGATGCTACGAATGTTTTTTTTTT